AAACTACTTTCTCTATTTTCCTTCTCTCTATGTCTTTACCCCTATCCCTATCTCCCTCTCCCCTTCCCCTTTCCCCCCTCCCCCTCCCCCTCCCCCTCTCCCTCTCTCTCTCTCTCTAGGAAGTAGAAATGATGAAAGCTGCATATCGGAAAGAACTAGAGAAGAACAGAAACCACGTTCTCCAGCAGAATCAGAGGCTCGATACCTCCCAGAAACGGATTTTGGAACTGGAATCTCATCTGGCCAAGAAAGACCACCTGCTTTTGGAACAAAAGAAATATTTGGAGGATGTCAAACTGCAGGCAAGGTAACTTTGACGTGGAGAGGCATTTTAGGGGCACATCCTTTATCCAAGGGGACTTCCATGTTCTGGCTGTCTGTGTCTTTCAGAGGACAGCTGCAAGCTGCCGAGAGCAGGTATGAGGCCCAGAAAAGGATTACCCAGGCGTTCGAGTTGGAGATCTTGGACTTGTATGGCCGACTGGAGAAGGATGGCCTTCTGAAAAAACTTGAAGAGGAGAAAACAGAAGCCGCTGAGGCAGCAGAAGAAAGGTAGGAGCCAGGAGCTGCCCTGCAGGCCGCACGGCGTTGCCGCCGCTCACGGAAGCAGGGCCGTGGCCGTGGCACAGGCAGCACGTGCACGTGAGGGGCGGGGGTAAAGCCCGAGCTGGCAGCGTCCCAGGGAGCCTTCCGTGTTCCTCTTCTGGCCTCGGTGCCCCCTGGCGGCAGGATGTGTTCCTGTTTCACACAGATGGTTGCCTCCAGCCGTGACACGCTGTGCTCCTGCTGAGCGCTGTGGCTTGGGTTTCCTGGGACAGCACAGACGGTGGGCGAACCGCTGAGTGTGTCTGAGTCCTTGTCTCCCGCTTGGGGAAGACCCAATCACAGCTTCCTTTCTCCTTCCGGGATTTGTTACAGGCTTGACTGTTGTAACGATGGCTGCTCGGATTCCACGGTAGGGCACAATGAAGAGGCATCTGGCCACAATGGTGAGACCAAGACCCCCAGGCCTGGCGGCACCCGGGGCAGCGGTGGGAGCAGAGGAGGTGGAGGTGGCAGCAGCAGCAGCAGCAGCGAGCGTTCCACCCCCGAGAAACCTCCCACCCAGAGGGCGGGTCCGTTCAGCAGTCGCTGGGAAAACCCCATGGGAGAGCCCTCGCCCAGCATCCCCGCGACTGTCGGCTCACTTCCCAGCTCCAAAAGCTTCCTGGGCATGAAGGCCCGGGAGTTATTTCGTAATAAGAGTGAGAGCCAGTGTGATGAGGACGGTGTGACCATCAGTAGCCTTTCTGAGACCCTGAAGACAGAACTGGGCAAAGACTCGGGTGTGGAAGCCAAGGCGCCCCTGACCCTCGATGGCCCACGCACATCTCCCCCAAACCCAGACAGTGTTGGACAGCTCCGTATCATGGACTACAATGAGGCTCATCACGAACACAGCTAAGGGTGAGGGTCGCTCAGTGTTAACCTGCACATTGTTGGCGTAGAACAGGAGGTGTGAACGCACGTCTCAAAGCTTTCCTGTTTCCAGGGTCTGAGTGGCGCGCTCCCACGGTGGAAATGGGATGGCGGAACGGTTTTTGGATCTAGCATTGAAATGCCTCGTACCCTTCCCCGAACCCACCCCCAGCCCCTTCCTCGTTCGCCTGCCGGTGTGTGCTAATCTGAGGGCCGGTGCGCGCCTCAGGCGCTCTATTTCCTTCCTTTGTCCCCCAAACGGCTGCACCCTGTGAACCTGTGCAGTGTGAGGCCAGATTTAATCCTTGCATCTGACACCCACCTTCTGCTTCCCTGAGGCTCAGAGAGCTGGGGTGGCTCAGACCAGGTAAGTCTGGTTCTGCCCTTCAAGGACGTGGCCTGCAAAGCCGATGGTCTTCACGTGAAGGCTTGCACGGGCACTCTGAGGGCGGGCGTCGCACGCAGCAGGTCTGGCAGGACGCTGGCTCGTTTCACCCTTGATCTTCAGTGGCTCTGAGAAGCTTCCTAGAAAGTTTAGTGAACAGTCTGTCGTTTCAAACGTCTGGATTTGGCAGCGTGGAGACCATATTCCTTACCCTGTAAGCTCTGTCCCTCCTTTCCCACTACCTCTTATTTATTTGGTGTTTGCTTGAATGCGGGTGTTGGGCTGACCGCAGGCTGGACGGGCGGTGGGAACAGCTGCTCCCCGCAGGAGGCTTGGAGCAGTCGCCGGAGCTCTCGCGTGTGAGCACCTCGCCACGCCCACTTCTGCTCGCGGCAGCACGGAGGCTGTGGCGGCCCCGAGAGTCTGTCTGGCGCTCGGGTGGCCGTCGCTCCTCGGCAGGATGAGATCTAGGCCTCCGCAGGACAGCAGCTGTCTCACGCTAGTCCAGCTTCCCGTGGCGGTCACGGCAGGGAGGAGAGAGCGGGGTGGACAAGGGCTCGCTGCCCCTGGCTGCCGGGCTGCCCTGCAGGCACGCGAGAGCTGACCCATCAGGGCGCTGCACGGTCAGCAGACGCTCCTGGTGTGATGCCAGAAGACTAGGGTTGCTGCTGGTGCTCTGGCCGAGGCGAGGAGAGGCCTGGGGAGAGAGCCAGTGGGCGTGGCTGTGCCGCTGCTGTTCTTCCAGTAGAAGGAGCAGAAGGCTGCAGCCAGCAAGAGGTGCAAGAAACTGCAATGGTACGACTCTTATGCATTCAGACGTTCCAGCACGTGAGGGTTTTCCTTTCCTTTCCTTTCCTTTTCCTTTTTTTTTTTTTTTTTTTAACGTGGCAAAAAGTATTTTAGTATCCCCAACTGAAAGGAACTAGAGCATGCGAGAGTCCATGTCACCATGGCGATACCGGCAGACCTGTTCTGGCCAGGACTTCTGCCCGTGACTAACCGACTCCCAGCCTACAGCAGGGCTCGTCCCCAGCTGCGTAAGCTCGGCAGGGCCTGGCTGTAGCCTCTGGGTGTGCCGTGTGGAGCTGTCCTGATGCCACACTTCTAATTCAGCCTTGTCCAAAGGAAAGCTTCAAACCCAGTACTTTCCGGGCTCCTGGTTCCGTTACAGAAGAGGACAGCATGAACAAATTCAGAGGGAAAAGCACTCTTAGAACCAGTGCTAAGTACTCTCCGTGCCGCGCTCCTGGGAGTGCTGTGCCACAGGACAGACACACCAGGCGCTCCACTGCCCTGCCTTAACTGGCGGGGGAAAGGAGGCAAGTGTGAGAATTGTTTTTTTTTTTTTTTTATGGGCGGATTGTAGAAGTACAGGAAGAAAGGCAGCATGGCAGATGCCCCGAGGTGGGCGTGCAGGCCACTGGAGCTCGGGGCCCACTGTGGGGGTGACAGGGCAGGCCCAGCTGAGCTCTCGGAAGCCGTGGGTTCTGTTCCAGGAGGGATGGGGGGGTCGGGATCTGGAGTTGCGTTGGTTACCCAACCCCAGATCTCGGGCTGCAGAGTCGGTGGGCGTTTGGTTTTGCCTTGAAAGTGATCAGCTTGCCACATCAGTGGGTCACTCAGTCTTGTTGCAGCAAGTACTTTTAAGGATGGAAAGGGATAGTAGAGGGACTTGCAGTGAGCTGGTCAGGCCCGGCAGAGACGTGAGAGTGGTGAGTGTTACCATGGGAAGGACTCCCGAGGAGCCGGTCGGGCCGAGAGGCCCTAGAGCAATTGGTGCCACAGGCAGAGCCTTAGAAATGGTGGAGCAGCTTGGCGCTCGTGAAGGTGGGGCTGGCTAGGCCTCCCTCGCCGGGAGCGAGCGTCCCCGGTGGAGCCGCGCGGCCAGCCTGCACGGCCTGCGCTGATCCCCAGCGGCCCCAGGCCCTGAGGAGGCGGCGTCAGCCTCTCGTACTGCATGGCATTTGTTTGGAAAGGGGCACTACAGCCTTTAGGGGTGGGAGGGCAGGAAGCCGAGTTCCTGACTCGACTCCAGGAAACAAGCACACGGATCTCGATGATAGCTTTCCTGTGGATTTCAGAGAAGCTTTGACGGCTGCGCCATGACGTCTGTAAGAGTAGTTGCGATGGGATAGGAAATACGTGGTCACGAGCAGAAAAACCTGGAGCCCAGAGGTGGGCGGTCGGCGTCTTCCGTGGCCGTAGTGGGCCGTGGGCAGGAGTGCGTCGCTGAGGCCGGCTGACGGTTCTTCCGGAGGGGAAGCTGCCTGGCCGTCAGGGCGACGCTGCAGAGGTTCTGGTTAGGGTCTCTGAGGCACAGAGCTCCGTGCGAGCCCGTTTCTGTGAGGTGGCCGGGGGAGATGGTCTGACGTTCCTGGCAGCCACTGGTGATGAGGAAGGAGGATGAGCGCCGCCTGCCACTCCCTGGGCAGAAGCCGTGTCAGGACCCCGCACTCGGTCCCCGCACGGGCTGCCTGGTGGTTCTGTCGGGGACGACAGTTCTGGGGATCGTTGAGAGAAGGACGCGCGCGGTGTGGTAGGGACCACGCGGCTCAGAGTCGCGAGTGGAACACAGGCGTGTGGCTCTGCGTGGACGGCAGGCAGGGGGACGCCCCCCAGTTGCCGCCATGTCGCGCTTGAAGCCAGGAAGGAGCGGCGCCTGGTGAAGCCGGGTTTCCCTCGGAAGCTGCGGCGGGAGGAAGGGTGGCAGGCAGAGCGAGGGCTCAGGCAGGGGCTGCGGTGGCGTCGGCACGCGGTCCACTCTTGGCACTCTGGGAGAAGCCGAGCCCTCCCAGCACCTGCTGCATCTTGAGGCCGCGGGGTGGGGTGCGTGTGTGCTGGGGAGCGTTCCAGGCCGAGCGTGTCTGTGTCTGTTTACACTCAGAGTCTTGAGAGGGCCCGCACTCCTACCCCGGACCGCTGGCAGTCATTGGTTGCACTTGATGAAGCTTTTCTTTGTAGGTTTAAAAAAAATTTAGGTCGAGGACTGGCCCTCAGCTGCTGCTGCGACCCTTGTCCCCTGTGGCTCCTTCCCCATCTGTGACTGACGCGCCCAGGGCTTCTGCCCGCCATCCTGCAGTCTGAATGTGCGCTCCCCAGAGAACAGCGGGCAGCTGCCCGGGGCCGCCAGAGAGCCGGGCGTCTGCACCCACGGCTGCGTTTGGCCCTGAGACGAGTTAGTGAAGGCTGAAGATCTTTCTCCCGCTTCCCAGGGCCACACGGTGACCCACCCCATGGGCTGAGTAGGCTGGTGTGGCCGCCGGAATAGCTCTTTGAGAAGATACCCCAGGAGTCTGGCATCCCCCAAGCCCCCCTCCCTGGCCCCTCCCCAGCGCGTTCGGTGTGGACAGGAGGGCGCGGGCCGCCGTGTGGCAGCCCTTTGGCTCACCCGAGAGGCAGCCAGGCATTTTGCACTAGGAAGAATCAGTGACCACTTAACTGAAGACGTCTGTGGACCACAAACACATCATGGAGGAACAGATTTTGCTACGACATAATCTAGTTTTATAGCTCAATCATGGATGAACCATGTGGCTAACTTGCAGTTTAAAGGGGTCCCATCAGTGACAAGAAACATTTTTTAAACTGTTTTTAGTTAAATTGGAGCAAGACATCTCTTGTCAAAAGGCTTAAACTTTCCCGCCTCAGTCGTAAAAGCATGTCAAACAATCCACATTAGATGCCATAAAAATGAACTGCAAGAGAAAAATGGTACAATCTTAGTGAATGGGGATCGGAATCAAAAGGGTTTGCTGTCCTTAGAATGTTCTAAAATGTCAAGGCAGTTGCTTGTGTTTAACTGTGAACAAATAAAAATTTATGGTTTTGCACTACCCTGCTGTGTTGGCGTGAAATGACCCAGCCAGCCTGGGGGGCTCGTGAGCGAGGCGGGGGACCAAAGACACGGCAGCCTCGGGCCTGGGCTGCCGGAGAGCCTGCCTGGCAGGCGAGGGTTCTGTGCTGGCGCATCCCTTCATCTGCCTCAAACTCGTGGTCCCCGATGAGTCACCCCAGGGGAGGAGGTGACCCGTGTCATCTCTGGCAGAGAAACCCTGCAAGTCAGGTGGCTGCCCGGGCTGCCGTGTCACCCGCGTGGCTTTTGGCGCGTGTGCTCTGAGTGGCCGGTGGGCAGGTGGGGTCCAGCGGAGTCTCTGGTGGAACCCAGCCAGCATTGCGGTTGTCCACGGCTCGCCAACCCTGAGCTTTTTCTGAGCGCTGCCCTCCCGTCTTCCCTGGGCCTGGAGGACGTGGAGGCGGGCAGGAAACCGCCTCCCCGGGACTGTGGGAGCCGCCCGGCTGTGTCTGGAAGTCGGGGTCGCTCTGCCCGCTTAAGGCAGCTCCTTCGGGACGAAGACTTGGGGTGGCAGTGTTTAAATGTGCCTGGGGAGTGCAGGTTTTCTCTCTCAAGCGGACAAGGCGTCATCGTCCGCCCTTGAAGGAACGTGGGAGTGCCGGCCCTGTGCGGGTCTTGATTTTCTTTCAGGGACAAGCTCCAGAAAGCAAGCCAGGCAGAGGGGTGGTACAACACTTTTTATTCTTGACTGTCTCCCCCCGAAGAAGCAACAATACAGAAGCTAAGTCGTCCCCTGTGAAGGGAAAAACCAACAGTCAGCCCCGTCTGGCAGGGCCAGGGGCCAGGGGCGCGTCACCGTGTTTGGGTCTCGGTCACACCGCGAAGACCAGCTCTCGCCCAGGAGCCGCAGGCTCGGAGCCCTGGCTTCCGTCGTGGTCTCCCTCTCCCAGGAAAAGCAGCGGGAAAGACGGGCTCATCCCCTTCACGCTGGGCCAGGGAACCAGACACACACGCGGCCCCGCCTGGCAGGGAGAGCCTGAGCCTTCCCGCGGCTGTGGCTGCCGGGTGCGGGGGACTAGGGGGTCTCCAGTGTGACGGCTCCAGAGGGGAAGCTGCGGCCCACCGCCTGGTGGGTGGAGGGTGCGGCTCCCAGAGGCCCTGGGGCTCTGTGCCTTCTTCAGCAGCCTTCCTGGGACACCCTCCACCCACGGCGCGGCCGGGGCACCACCTGCAGTGTGTTCAGTGGGGATCCTCTTCATCAGCACCGAGCCTCCCACTCAGGAGGGGAGAGATTCTCTGTGACGTACTGGCCCCTTGGGGGTTAGCGGTAGGGCCCGTGGGTGGAAGGAGAGCAGGTTAATTCACAGAGCACCCACGGCTGGAGCAGGCCCCCGGCTCGACCTACAGCTTCCCACCAGGTGGTCGCCAGGGGGGCTTTGAGACGCCTTGGCCTTCCCCCCTAGATTTGAGGCTGTCCTTCGCCAGTTGCCTACACTTGAGTTTTCTGAACCAGAGCTGGGTGCCCGCGGCCTGAGCAGGACAAGCGGCCCCCCTGGTGGCCTGCTGGCGTGCGGGGGGCTCACTCACGTGCTGCAGCACTTTGCGGGGCAGCTTCTCCGAGTGGGCGATCCACTCTTTCATTAAGTCCAGGACGATGGGGATGAGGCTGACCACGCCCCCGTAGTGGTTCCTGGCCTCGTCACAGCTCAGGTGGTTCACCACGTCGTGCGGGTACCTGGGGGACCACAAGAGGGCGTGGTGAGCGGCAAGCAGCAGCCCTGGCTTCTCCGGAACCGGACACCATGTGCCCGACTCTCTCTGCCCATAGATCCTGGTTCCGCAGGTTTGAGGGCTGAGGGCTCCGGGAGACTCTGGTGTGGAAGGCAAGAGCTGCAAACCCGTGTGGTCTGCAGAACCCAGGTCAGGGGCTCAGGCACCTGCCTGGCTTCCCCTACGCTGCCTTAGTCTAGGGAGCTCCTGCATGATGCTGGCACACTGCTGTGGACTCCCCAGGGGCCAGGACAGAACCCCAGTAGGGGTGCTGCCACCCAGAGGACACAGCTCCCGGGCCCCACGTCCACGTCAGAAAGGGCTTCTGGGAACAACTGCCCTGTGGCCCCTTCTCTTGTGGCCTGAGATGCTTTGTGTCTCGCCGTGTGTATGACCTGGGTTCCACTTAGTTTTGTTGTGTCGGGGTCATTCCAATCAATCAAAAGGAGCTGGGATTCCCCACCGAGGGGCTTCTGAAGCTGCCTGCTCCCCAGGGAGGCACCCAGGGCTGCCTGCCCACTCGGCCAAGGCTCCTGCTCCCCAGGGAGGCGCCCAGGGCCGCCTGCCCACTCGGCCAAGGCTCCCGCTCCCCAGGGAGGCGCCCAGGGCCGCCTGCCGCTCGGCCAAGGCTCCCGCTCCCCAGGAAGGCGCCCAGGGCCGCCTGCCCGCTCGGCCAAGGCTCCCGCTCCCCCTCCCTGGCGGGACCCCCAGGGACTCACTTGGCCCTGAGGCTGCTCAGGTCGTTGCTCTGGCTGACCAGGGTTTTGCACTTCTCGAGCAGGTTGTTGGTGACGGGGGTGCCGGCGTGCAGGGCCTCAAAGCGCTGGCAGAGCTTGTTCAGCTCCGAGCAGATGTCCAGGAACATGAGCAGGATCCGCCGGTCCGTGGCGTTGTAGCAGTAGTGCTCCATGTAGCTCTGCACCTGCAAGGGCCGGCCCGACGCTGGCTCGCACCCCCGCTCCCTCCCGTGTCCTCGCGTTCAGACCTCTGCATGTCCGGCCCTCTGCCTGAGGAGGCTTCCAAAACCCCACGGGGATGTGTGGTGCAAGAAAACCAGGCACCGACTGCAAGGCTTTCTGCAACCAAAATAAACTTTTTGTTCCAGTTCTCCGTGGCAACGTCATCAAGTGTCCCCAGGCACTGTGCAGACAGCGGACAGGCCTGGTCACGTAAACCCTGCACACTGGGAAGGACCCCTTTTAACCTCTCATTCTAGATGGACACCACGAATCCCGGGGGTGACAGAGGAAGTGGCTCACTGGAGTTTGCCCCATGTTCAAGAACGTGGGGCCTGCACTCCTCACCAGTCCCCAGGCCCCTAAGCCCGCCACCACATAGGGCAGGAGGGGGCGGGGGCTGGCTTTTCATGCCATGGTGCCCCTGGAAGGCCCACTCAGCTGCTGGGGCAGGCCACCGTACAGAGGAGGAGACAGGGAGCCGGGGCCCTCCGGGCTTTCCTTGTCCCCAAAGGTGGGACGAGTCAGGAAGTGGAGCTGGGGAGAGTGAGTGGTCCCCAGGAGAAACACCTGCTGTCCCCCTCACCCCCGTTCGGAAGTCAGCTCTGGGAGGATCAAGAGTGTGGTCAGAGGATGTCCCCCCACCCCGCCAGTGCTGACCAAGCGGATGCTTCCATCAGCTCTTTTCCTCCGTGGGAGTTGGGGACCCGCCCTGCGTAGCCACCCCACGACTTGGCACGTGAAGCTGAGCCAGGCGGAGGCCTGATGTCCTGCTGGGGAGGACCTGGCCGTGGCCCAGGCCTCACTTCACAGCCAAACAGTGCTGCCCTGCGCGGTCTGTTGAAGGCACTGCCGTCACTGCCTCCCCCAGCACCTGCCGTGTCCCAAGTCTAAAGCAAGTTCCGCCTGCTGCAGCCGTTGCTAAGGGAATATATCCTCCCAACAGTCTGGAGTACTGCCCGGCACGCGGTGGCACTGTAAGGGGGAGGGGCTTTTAACCGGCGCACCTGCCCGGGCACCTGTGTGGGCAGGGAGCTGGGACCTGCTTCGTGGCGTAACCACAACAGAGCAGTGTCACTGGGCTATCTTTGGACGCCCCAGGTTTGGGGAGGGCGGGTGAGGCTGAACCCGAGATGGTCAGAACATGGGCCACTGTGTACCAAGTCTTTGTGAGAGCAAACCTAAGGAGGCCACCCCCTTCTGCACGGGAGCTGAGGAGCTGGGGGAGGGGGGTCCCCATAGCACGGATGTAGATGCTGAGGGCGTGGGAACTCAGGCTCTTGGGAGACTGAAGACCTGGCCAGCGCTGTTGAAGCTGGGCTTCTGGGGGTTGAGGAAAAGGCAGTGGCAGACCAACCTCCCAGGCAGATGTGGCTACGCGTCACTGCACAGGGAATCTGCAGAAGGCCGCGTGGGTGTTCCTTTTCTCTAGGTTTAACATTCTCCCAGTAAAAACGGGCTGGGGCCTGTGCTGTGGCACAGCGGGTTAATGCCCTGGCCTGAAGCACCAGCATCCCATATGGGCGCCGGTTTGAGTCCCAGCTGCTCCACTTCCCATCCAACTCTCTGCTGTGGCCTGGGAAAGCAGTGACAGATGGCCCAAGTGCTTGGGCCCCTGCACCCACGTGGGAGACCCGGAGGAAGCTCCTGGCTTAGGATCTGCGCGGCTCCGCCCCATTGCAGCCAACTGGGGAGTGAACCATCGAATGGAAGTCCTCTCTCTCTCTCTCTCTCTCTCTGTAACTCTGACTTTTAAATAAATACATAAATCTTAAAAAAAAGGGGGGGGGGGCTTTTTTTTTTTGATAGGCAGAGTTAGAGAGAAAGGTCTTCCTTTTTCCGTTTGTTCACCCCCCAATGGCGGCTGCAGCTGGCGTGCTGCGCCGATCGGAAGCCAGGAGCCAGGTGCTTCTCCTTGTCTCCCATGGAGTGCAGGGCCCAAGCACTTGGGCCATCCTCCACTGCACTCCCGGGCCACAGCAGAGAGCTGGCCTGGAAGAGGAGCAACCAGGACAGAATCCGGCGCCCCAACCGGGACTAAAACCCAGGGTGCCGGCGCCGCAGGCGAAGGATTACGGGCTAATTTTTACAGCGTGCGGCTGGCATGGGGTGCTTGTTCTCCCGGGCTCCGTCCCCTGCACGCCCCCACCCCGTCTCTGAGCGGTCGACCTCAGATGAGCTGACTCTTGCAGGCTGAGACGGTCCAGCCTACATGTGTGCTCCCGACTGCCCTGGGGCTCACTCCTGGCTCCTGGAGGGCTCACTGGGTCTTGAGGCCTCCAAGTCCTGCAGGGTGACCTTGGACAGCAGCTGACCCTGGGGCAGATGGGGTCAAGTAGAAACATCCGCAAAAGCAGCCAGGGGCACGCTTGGCAGCTGCCGACTCTGATAGAGACCACATCCATGGTCACTGAACCGCAGCACTCTGCCCAGCCTGGCGGGTCAGCCCGGACGCCTGCTGAGCCGGCCCTGGCGCGAGGAGACGAGGGAGGCGCGCAGGGGAAAACTGGCGGGCCCAGAGTCACGGGAGGGGGCGTGGGCACGGAGCCCACGTTCCAGCCGCTGCTGTTCCTCCCGGCCCAGGTCGGGCAGGTCCCCTGTGACCCACCCGCTAGCCCTCGCGGGGGCGCCACCTGTCCGATGCTGGAGATGGGCCGGATCTTGTCGTGGGCGCTCTCCCTGCAGCGCTCCAGGGCCGCGATGAAGGTGAACTGCTGCTGCTGGAACAGCTTGTACTTCTGCTCCACGCCGCGCAGGGACTCTTTGACCTCGTTCATCGTCTCCTTCCGCGCTCATGCACAGGACGGGGGGGTCTGCAGGAGGAAGTGCGCCGTGAGGTCTGGGGGCCCCTCCCGCAGGAGACGGCGTCTCCCCAAGGCCGCCCCCCCACACCCCGGCTGTGACAGTGCTAAGCTTGCCCCTCGGCCGTTACCCTCCAAGGACACAGGCTGTGCCCCGAGACTGCTGTCCCGCAGCCGTGGGCAGGCTTTCCCTCGTCCTGTTTCTCCACACTGCGGCCGTCGCCCACGCCCACGCCCACCGCCGCCAGGGCCTCCCTGCGGGACAGCACGCCTGGGATGCAGGGCTACGCCACAGGATGTAAAACCAGCAGAACATCGGCCATCCACTTGGACCAAATTGCTTCTAAACACCCGCCACTCTGCGATTGCTGGGCGTGGCTAGGAACGCCTTCTCCTGGGCTAAGCAGGGGGCCGGCACACGCCCGTCCAGCCCGAGGGGGCGCCCGGGTCCCGCTGTGTGCTGGCATAGGAGCCCTGACCTCGAGTTTGGATTCCCAGGCAGGGTGCTAGCTTGGGGACTCCCCCTCCTCTGACACCTCAGATGGCCCCTACTGGCGTGCACGTGTGAGCAGCACGGGGCGAGGGTCAGTTCTCCCTGATACCAGGTCTGATGAGCACGTGCAGATCGCCCCGCTCACGACTGCTGGAGTCTCTGGAAGCAAAGGTGACCTCCGTGGCCAGCTCCCCTCAATTGCTGCGGGCAGGGGGCAGGACACACCCTGGGTCCCACTAGCTAGCATGCTCGATGTTGTCTACTGCCCCCTCCCCCCAAGTCACCACTGGGAATCCAGGCTTGACCCTGCCATCCAGTGCCGCAGGAGCAGGGGTCAGAGGCAGGGTGCAAGTGGGACATTCCGGCCTCCGGAAGAGGCCGGAACGCTCGGCAAGCATGGGGCTGGGGCAAGGCTGACTCGGGTGAGGAATGCGCACCTCTGTGCTGTGTGCCCCTCGCACGCTGAGCCCGCAGCAGGGATGCAGGGACCACACGGGGAGCGGAGAGGGCATCGGGAGCCGACGGGCACGCGGTAAAGCTGCCGTTACGGGGGATGCCGGGGCTCACCCCATAAACCTGCGGGGCTACTGTACACACAGCAGAGCCGGCTTCCACCACGCAGTGCCTGCCCGACGCGGCCCCTGCAGCTTCCCACGGGTGGGCCTGGTCCCGGGGAAGCAGTGGTCTCCTTCCTGCTCAGCATCCTTGCACTCAGCACCCCCCCCTCCCCCGTAGTGGACAGGTCGGGAGGGGGCCGGGGCCAGGGGGAGGGGCTGAGGGACTCACTGCTTACTGAATACCTGCCCTATCTGGGGCTGGTCCCCGCACTGCCACGGAGCAGAAACGGCGGTGTTTGCTGCCTCCCGAGGCGCTGGGCTCAGCAGAACCCAGACCCCTGAGGCAAGGGAGGCCCTCACCTCTGCGCAGGACTGGGGGGAGGGGGTGCTGTGGCTCAGTGGGTTAACGCCCTAGCCTGCAGTGCCGGCATCCCATAGGGGCGCCCGTTCTGGTCCTGGCTGCTCCTCTTCCAATAGCTCTCTGCTACGGCCTGGGAAAGCAGCAGAAGATGGCCCAAGTCCTTGGGCCCCTGCGCCAACGTGGGAGATCTGGAGGAAGCTCCTGGCTCCTGGCTCTGGATCGGCACAGCTCTGGCCATTGCAGCCATCTGGGGAATGAGCCAGCCATCTGGGGAGTGAACCAGCAGATGGAAGACCTCTCTCTCTGTCTACCTCTCTCTGTAACTCTTTCAAATACATAAAATAAATCTTTTAAGAAATACTGAAGAGGGCGCCCCAAACCCCACATTCCAGAGAGGGTCAAGGTTAAGCCCAAGTGCGCAGAGAACACTGGTGGCACTGGAAAACAGGACTGCCGTGCTGCGCCGTGTGGAGCCTTGGCCAAGGGAAGTCGGCGCTACTGAGCCTGCCCGCGGTGGAATTTCCGAGATCTTACTCAAGAAGGGGTTGGGACGCGCATTCCAACTGTTTATAAACAGCGCGTCCAAATATTTCCCATACCAAGGGTTCTGCCCTCGTCCCCCTACACACACTTGAGTTCTGCACGGAGGTGGGTGCCTCCCTGCCTCACCCTGTCACAGCCAGGGCTCACACGTGACCATCAGTGGCGGCATCAGAGGGCTCGGGTAGAGGAGCGGCGAGTGTGCCCTCGCAGCACAGCGTGGCCAGCCACGGTTAGGAAGATGCTGGGAGTGACTCGGTCCTGGGTTCAGATCCTGGTTCCGGACCTCGGCAAGCTGCTCATCCCGTCTGAGTCTCAGGGTTCCACCCTAGGGCCTTGGCCTCCCAGCCTTGGGGGTGTACCACGAGGCACCAGGCAAAAGCTGTGGAGCCCAGAGCTGGGACATGGGGGTGCCCCGTCACTGGGGCCGGCAAACTTCCGCGATGGAACGGCAGGCAGGCGTGGTGTGCGCCAGCCCTACAGGAGGACCTTTGGACCTTCTGGGGGAGGGGGCTTCAATGGGTCTTGAGGAGGTGGGTGCTGGGGCGAGACTACGGTCTGGAGGTTATGGGTGAGGATGTGGGAAGGGTGCGGAACAGGGCCGAGGACGGGGGCCGCCGGCGTCGGGCTGAGCGTTCGGAAGAACCACTGAGGGCTTCCAGGCAAAGGCGGAAGTCTTCCCACCTGCAGTGGCGGTTCCTTCGGTTGTGTGCCGGACACTGGTCAGCGGCTGCGTCAGACAGCACTGGCCCACTCGGACCAGATCCCCGCCTTGGGGAGCTCCTGTTCCAGGGCGGGACCCGTGCCAGAAGAGCACCTGACACCAGCGCAGTCCGAGGGGGAAACACAGCAGCCTGCCCCGTCCTCCCCCGGACAGCAGGCCACTGGCCGGGCCCTGGTCAACTCCAGACAGGCTTCCTGTCCAGGCTGGCCACAGGGTGCCGTGATGACCCCCAGGGGACAGACAAGAAAGCTGAAGCCCCACGGCTGGGACGTGGGCAGGTGGGCTTCTCGCTCAGCTCTGCCTGTCTCTGTAAAGTCCGGGCTCTTAACCTGAGCCATCCCGGCCTCCCGGTTTCCATGGTGTTCCTAAGAGACCAAGACCCCACACAGCTCCGCCCATCCACCCACTGGACCCCGCCCCCCTGCCCCAGGCCTCTCTGCCGCTCCCACTGGACTTCCCTTTTCCTCATCCCAAAGCATTCAGGGTGCTGTCCTGTCTGAGCCTGGCTCCCTGCCACCCTCGTGGGGCTCCCTGGGGCTGCCAGGTTCCCCGGGGACCAGAGTGCAAGCTTGGCTGGTGGCCCCAAGAGCCCCTGAGAGCAAAACTGACTTGGCTCTTGATCCTGGCGACGTGTGACACGCACGCCAGGGATGTCATGAGCGCAGCTGTAATAAGCGATCCAAGGTGATCGTCGCCGTAACGACGGAGCCTCCGCAGCCGAACGGCTGGATGAAAGGCACAGGGCGCGGGCGCTTCTCCGTGTGGGAGGGAGGGGTGGAGGGGGGGAGGGGAAAGTGACTGCCCGGTAGGTTTTAGGCTTTAATTGATTTGTATTTTTCCAGGCTGCTAAAGATTAAATCACGGTATGGAAAGTGCCTAGGGCTTAAAATAAACGAGGAGCAGGGCACGTCTTTCAGAAATGTCCAGGAAGCGTCCTGACCCCCCCGCCCCCGCCCCAGCGCAAACGCAGGCTGGGCTCTGTGTTCTTTGTTCAGTGGCTTTGCAGCTGGGCTGACAAGGCCACCGAGGGGTACCAGCGGCTCCGGCTGGAGTCAGGGTGTCCAGTTCCAGCCGTGCTGCACCTCTGAGGTACCCAGTGACTCTGGCTAAGGCTGTGCCCCTGTCTGCGCCTCACTCTACCCATCTGTAAAATGAGGGAGTTTGGGATACAGGCTGGGGGGGGGGGGCGGCTTCTGACTCTACATTCTAAGATAAAAAGCTGATGAGACAAGGGGCTCGAGTCCCACCCAGCCAGCTCCTCTTCCTGTTCTGACCCTCCAACTCCTCCTACAGGGGGTGAAGCTACCTGTCTCGCAGTGCCAAGATGAAACACTGTTAGTAGCAGTGGCCCCCACGCACTGTGTGCCTACCCCATCCCCAGCTGCTGCCTCCTACTTCCCTAAGGAGTCCCGGAATCCTTTAATAACCCCGCTTCCCAGGGCGAGAAACCTGGGGCACACAGCAAGTGAACAGGCTGCGTGGGGACTCGAACCTGGGATGCCTGCCTTCAGCACGCCATCTTGCCCTCCCTAACCGACACAGACGACAGCTTTGCGGGTGGTGGTGGGGGACCAGGTAAAAGAGCTCTGTAGCCTGCAGCGCCTACAGTTAATGGCCCCCTGCCCCGCAGAGCCCCTTCCCCACTGCGTCCCACCCCCTCGCCTCCAGCCACTGCCTCCCCTGCCCTCCGTCTTTACCCTGGCTTGTCCCGAAGCGGCCTCCGCCTCAGACTGCCCAGAAGCCGGGGCGACTCCGTGGGTGTCTGGGCCCCGCAGGGGCTGGGGGCCCCCTTCTCCGGACTTGGGAGGAGGGAGCGGGCAGGTGGAGAGGCCGGGCCCCCGGATTGTGACCGCGGGCGCCATGGCAACCGGGTCACGTGGCCACCCGCCCCGCCCCAGGAGACCTCGAGGGGGCTGTCCGGTGGGCCTGGACCTCCCCCCCCCGGCCCTGTCCCGTGGACGCCCCTCGAAGTAGAGAGGCCTCTCCCACATCCGTCCCGCGTCTTCCCATTACAGATGGGGCAGCCGAGCCCCGGGGCGCAGAGCACGGCCGGCCCACGGGGCTCCGGGAGCCACGGTCGGGGCCCGGGGACAACCCTCGAGCAGGACCCGCCTCCGCCCCGCGCGCCGGCGGACCCACGTGCTCCTCCGGGGCGGAGTGGGGGTCTGGGCGTGGCGACGCCCCATTCTGCACGCAGGAGGCCCAGCTGGGGGCGGCCTCCCTGAGACACTCGGGTGGGGAGAGCGAGCTGGGGAGGGGAAGGAACTTGCCCAGGGCTACAGGGCGCGCGCGTGCCGCGGAGGTCCGGCCGGGGCGGCGAGCACCGCGGGAGCAGAACTGCGGCCGTCAGGAACCCGCGGCGGCGGCGGCCAGGGCGCGGCGCGGCGCGGCGCGCGGTGATGACGCAGGACGCGGCGCCCTGGCGACGCGGTTGCTAGGGAGCGGCGCGCCGCGGCGGCGACATGGACGCGACCTCTTTCCCGCACGTCATCCCCCCGGAGATGCCCCAGTACGGGCAGGCCAACCACATCTTCCAGCTGATGCAGGTGACGCGCGCCCCCTGCCCTCAGCGCACTCGGGGTCGGAGTCCCGGGTCGCCACGACCCCGAGCGGACGCCCCCGCGGGCCTCTCCCCACGGCGCCCCGCTGCCACGCGCCGGTGTCCCCCGACGGCTCCGAGTCTGTGGGAAGCTGGGGCCGTTCCCCGTCCCGGCCTCCTCCTCGGGGACCCTCAGCTCACGCGCGGTGCCCCAGGGGCCCCGCTGCACGCCTTGCAGGTGGGGCTCCGTTTCCAGGACTCTGCTCTGCTTCGTGGGTGCCACCGCGTGAGCCTCCGACCTGCGGGCTGCAGCGCTGGGCTCAGGCCAGGGACCTGAGCTGGCCGCGGGGCGGTCATCGCCTGGCCTGCAGGCCTGGGCCGGGTGCATCCGTTGTTACCTGCACTCGTGTGCACGGTTCTGTGGAATTTTCCCACGTTACATTCGCCGTCACAGTTCCGTGTCCACTTGGTTATCTCTGAAATCAACTCAAGGTTAAGTAGCGTCTTTGGCCTCCGCCTAAGCAATGCCCTCGAAGTCCCGGGTTCGTGTCCTTTCTTTTGTCTGATACACATTAAGTCGGCGGCTGTGTGAAGCCAACACTAAACACCTCGAATCACTGTGTCCTTTGCTGGCACCAAGCCCGGGTTCTGCCCAAGTGTGACGGGAACGGCTGGGGGCGCGGAGGCCCTGGAAGGGAAGGGGCTTGCTGGTGAGGTGCAGAGCAGGGAGCAGGGAGCAGGGCAGAACCACGCCCGCTCACCGCTCGCGTCCCCTCAGCCCTAGAGCGGAGCCCCTCCCTGCCCGATCCTAGGATGCCCCACCTTGCCCCGGCTCAGCTCCCGCCAGGATTAAATGGCCGGAAGATCCCAGGATGGTTTAGCTACGTGGCGGGCAAACATCCTGCCGCTCTCTGGAGGGACACAGGCAGCGGCGCTGGCTGGTCTGCATCGGGCCCCCAGTGTGACTGTGCCAGGGCTTGGGATGCGGGGCGGGGGCAGGCAGACAGTGAGGCCCACAGAACCCAGCCTGGTCCTGGTGAGGGTGGCAGCCAGGTGAGCAGGGACAAGAGACGAGGCAAGGAATGGGGGTGCTGGATGGGGCAGGAGGGGGAGACAGACGCCTATGGCAGGGGGTTTACCCATGAGACCCGAGGACTGGTGGAAGTTAACCAGGACAGGAAGGAGAGGAATCCACAGGCGGACCCCAAAGGGGCCTGGGGGCTGCCTGCTCTGAGTCAGGGCCAGGGTCCCTCCACCCCTGCCTCCCTCCGGGGGCCTCGCTGAGAACATCCACATGGCCCCTGGCACGCGTGCCTCTGCTCACAGGGACCCCGGCAGGTGGCAGCTGGGGCAGGGGGCTGGGCCCCAGGTCAGAGGCACGTTCATGGCCGCCAGGGTGGCCCCCGCAGGCGCTGACTTCCCGGGTGTCTGCCCTGTGCCCCACAGAGCATGCTGGAGCAGCTGCTGATCCACCAGCCCCAGGACCCCATCCCCTTCATGATCCAGCACTTGCAGCTGGACAGCGATGACGGTGAGCACTGTGGTGCCCCCAGCCGCCGCCCCCTCCCCTCTGCCCCACTCCTCCAATCCCTGACTCCCCGACTCCTCCACTGCCCCCCTCCCCCAGGACCTGGCTGGGAGGCACTCTGGTGCCCCCAGCTGCTGTTTCCTGCCCCCCCCAATCCCTGACTCCCCGACTCCTCCACTCCCTCACTCCCCCAGGACCTGGCTGGGAGGCACTCTGGTGGACTTGTATCTGAAGGGCCTCCCACCCCTTCTCCCCCTCCCCCCTCTCCCTGACTCCCTCCTCCCCCAGGACCTGGCTGGGAGGCACTCTGGTCGACTTGTGTGGAAGCGAAGTCGGAACAGGTGGGGAGGGGTTTTGACAATTGGCAGTGGGGGTTAATTGAAAAATGCCTCAACTTCTGTTGGAGCACAACTAATAAAAATTCTCTTGCCAAGTTATTAAAATGCAAACCGCGGAGTGGCCCACGGAATCAATTATTAATGCTTTCGCCTGCCCTAGCTGATGTCGCCTGTTGGGTTTAAGCTCTCTGATCACTGCACTTGTCAGGTGTAAATTTGGTTTCTGGTCTACCTAGACAGGCAAGCACTTGGGCTTTTCCGATGGGCTCATTATCTGCGCCGTTAATGAGTTCCAGAGCTCCCCACCAAAGCTCGGCGCGAGCGCAGGTTGGCCCGGTGCAAGGCCAGAGCGCAGAGCTGGGGAGGAGGGAGGCCGAGCTTGGAGGGCCCCGCACTCCACCCCGTGGTCAGTTTGCCAACTGGAGGCTCCTTCCTGTCCGGGCGAGCTGTCAGGGAGAAGTGCTGTCCATCCGAGAGCTTTGATGTTTCTTTTATCGGAGTGTTAGCCATCTTGAGGGAGCTAGCAGCAAACAGTGAAATTCACGCTTGGTGCGGCTGGGAGGGCCGGAGGCCGGCAGTGGGGGCTAGAAGGCCTGAGGTGGGAGATGCTAAGCAAGGTGAGAGAGAGGACCTGCGCTCCAGCAGTGTGCCCCGCACCAGCCTTTCTTGTCCTGATGGTCTCGGGCTTGGCCATGGCCCGTCCGAGTGCCCCTCGTCGGCCACTGTGTGAACCTAAATGGGGGTTAAAGAGAGCCCCGGTAGTGCCTCTTTCTCAACCTCTAGTTAGGCACAAATGGCCGGGTTCTGTGGGCATGCCCTGCTCAGCCCTGGGCCCGCGTGGAGGGGGCGCCGTGACGGGGGCAGGCTGGGAGAACCGCCTTCCGGAACTGTCCCTGCTCAGCCCTGGGCCCGCGTGGAGGGGGCGCCGTGACGGGGCAGGCTGGGAGAACCCCCAGCCTCTCTTCTCACCAGCCCTGCCTTGCAGACGCAGTGCCCGTGGCTCGTAGCCACTCCACCTCCTCAGGCTGCTGTTTACTCTGGGGTGTGCAGGGGGAGGTTCTGCCTCCACGCCCCCCCACCTCCAGGCTCACCCCCAGCCTCCTGGTGGCTGCGTCTCCCTCCCTGTGTGGGAGGCTGTGGGGGCTGCGGGCGGTGCTTCTGTCCAGGCCTCTCCTCTGCTGCCGCCACCACGTAACGAGGGGAGGCAGAGGGAAAGTGGGCCGGAGGAAAAGCCGACTAGAAGAGAAAGAGGAGCGCAGTGGCTGTGCCCCGCAGCCCTGCCCGTGGTCAGTGCGCCCTCAGCTCAGGGGCTCCCACACGGCTCCGTCCAGATGTGAAGAGGCAGTGAAGAGCCTCGGGCAGGGGTCACGAAGCTCTGGCCTGGGCAGTGGTGGCGGCTCCACGACAAGACGAGGGATTGACAAGTCCCTTCCGCCCTTGGGGGACGGGGCTGCGGGCCGCCCCGTGGGAACCTCTGCTTGTGACGGGTGTCCTGAGCTTTTCTGGAGTTACGTGTCGGGCTCGATGGTAACTCACCCGTTTGAACTCGGATACGTAGGGCGGCACCCCTGCTTTCTGTGGCCGGCTTCAGCGGCCTGCCTGGGGCCACTGCAACACAGCTCCAGTCATTCCCCAGCCGGGGAATCAAACGCCTGAAATCTGAGGCGGGGTCCGTCTTCTCTTCATGTTTCCGTCTTCCTGAACAGGTTTGGTTTTCAGTGTCAGTCTGTCTGTTGTCCAGGCACCATCTCACGACAGGCACGGGGCTGCTGGTGAAGACGCCCCTCGGGATGCCCACGGCCAGATCCGGTCCCAGCTCCCTGCTGACGCGCACCCTGGGAGGTGGCACTGGTGCGCGAGGGCTTTGTAGTTGGGTCCTTGCCACCCACAACGGAGACCCAGATGGAGTTCTCAGCTCAGATGCTGTCCGCAACATTTGGGGAGTGAGCTAGGGGATGGGAGTCTGTCTGCCTGTCTCTCTCAAACAAACGAAAGAAATTTAAATCAAATAATAAAAACTAAAGCCCGAAAGAGATCATACTTCAGGGGCCGGGGCTGTAGCAGAGCAGGTTAAGCCGTCGTCCGCAGCATCAACATCTCATATGGGCACCGGTTCGAGTCCCGGCTGCTCCACTTCCAGTCCAGCTCTCTGCTGTGACCTGGGAAAGCAGTGGAAGATGGCCCAAGTGCTTAGGCCCCTGCACCCACGTGGAAGACCTGGAAGAAGCTCCTGGCTCCTGGCTTTGACCCGACTCAGCCCCAGCCGTTGTGGCCATTTGGGCAGTGAACCAGCAGATGGAAGATTCTCTCTCTAATTCTGCCTTTAAAAAGTCACATTTCAGGTTTGGTTGCAGTGAGCTGGTGTTGGACGGCCAGCTGTCTCCGCTGCCCCCCGCCCATGGCCCCTTTGTCACCTCTTCACTGTCCTCCGGGGCTTGTGACTTTCCCGAGGCTGCCCTCCCTGGAGCCTTTACTCCGTCTCTGCGTCGCCCCGGCTTTGGCAGCTGGCTGGGCGCCGCCCTCTCCGGTCTGTCCTGAACGCTGAGTCAAGATTTTTGGTCCAGATGCGGTCAGAGAGGAGTCACTGGGACCCAAGGCTGCTGAACGGGGGGCTGATTTGTGCCTCTCCGCTCTCTCCCCCAGCGCCAGGCCACGGCCAGCAGCTGTTGCGGGTGCTGGAGCCTCTTTGTTGGCTCTAGAGCCAGTCGCTTACACAGAGAGGAGCAATCATGGCTTTCCCTGCCCGTACCCACACCTGCACGAGACAAGTGAAGCAAAAACTGAAAACACGGGCAGGGAGGCAGGCGGCCCCTGACGGAAATGGGGGAGAAATGGGGGAGAAGTGTGAAATCAGCCGGACCCAACCCCCTCACTCTAGAGGGTGCGGGAGGCTCAGAGGGTCCCATGGCATCCAACGAATGTCTCTGCTCCCCCGGGCTGGTTGTCAGCCACGCAGCGGCCTGGGTCAGCTGGAGCCGGGGCCTCGACCCTCCAGCTTACGGGGCACAGCGGCGTGGCCGGTGACTGGAGCAGAGGGAGCCAGGGCTCCCAACACCCCGTGAGTGTGCACAGGAGGGCGCAGAGGGAGCCACGGCACATGGGCTGGCAGCCCGTTTGCCGCGAGAAAAGCAGATTTAGTACAAAGTGAGCATTTACAGTAGCCCTGGGCAATGTTAAAGCAGGCGGTGGTGTATATAATGGTATGTTTCGTTTTTTATCAAACGTTTGTCCAAGAAAGCTGTGTATTAGAGCTCCAATACCTAAGGGTTTTCTTGTGAATTTTAAATCATGCTCCTAGTTAAACCTCAAAAGGATCTGTGGATGGAAAGGTTTTTTGATTTCCTTTGAAGTGGTGGCAGGAAGTTGATTACTCCTGGCAGTGAGGCAGGCTGTTATGGCACTGTTTATAAATAATTACTGATGAGCAGGGCTGCAGTTTCAAGGTGTTAGATTTTAAGAAACCGAAATTAATCACATAAATGAGCGAGAGGAACTTCGGGGCGGGGGGAAAGGCCGCGGATGTTCCCTTTTAAAATATTTTCATAGATGTGTACGACTTGGGTGCCGCTTACAGGAACCTGGAAGGGGAGGGTCCCTGGCACGTCAAGACCGAGACGACCGACCGCAGTTTTGGGAGTCGGACCCGAGCTGCCGCTGTCGGGACGTAGGTCCCTCCGCCTCGGGCTCCGCCAGCCCCAAGCCCTGTGGGGCGAACAGCAGAGACCCCGCTTAACAGCTGGGGGAGGCGGCAAGTGGTGGTGCAGGAGCAGACCGTGCCCCCACCCCCTCCTCACCCTGATGCGGCCAGGAAGGTCCCAGTGAGCTCCATGCTTCGTGGCCTGAGCACCCCCACCTTCGGCCACCTTCCCCCCAGACCTTCCACGCCACCCCAGGTCCAGTTCCCCGTGTCCCCTCTCACCTAATGTCCCCCAGGCCACTTCCTTTCCAAAGTCATTGTGCAAGCAGCGTTGCCCACTGTTGTGGCTTTTCTCCTGGGGGGGGGCGGGAGGGGGCAGGGAGGCCCTGGGAGGCCTCGCCCAGGGTTACAGACCCAGAGCAGAGAGTGGGCTGTGGGCTGCCGAACGCCTGCCCCTGCTCAAAATGCCTTCTTCACTTCTGTGACGGACGGGGCCTGAGCTGGGGACCCGAGCCTTCGCTGGCGAGTGTGCTTGTCTCTGGCGGCTCTGCAGGGCCTGGTTCCGGCGTGGCGGCGGCTGTGGCTGTGGCAGCCACGGCCCCTGTCGTGGCATCGTGGGCACAGCTCGGGAGGAGGGGGCACGGAGCTGGCCGAGGCGGAAGGGAAGCAGCAGCAGGCTGCGTGGCCGTGCCTCCGAAGGGCACCCCACTGGAGTGAGACTCTCAGGGGGCCGGGGTAGGAGCTGGCGGGTTCTGGTGAGGACGTCCCTGAGGGCCCGTGACAGGTGACGAGGTGGGAATGGCGAGGACCCTCTCCAGGAGGGCAGGAGAACCCGAGGCTTCTCACATGAAAAGCCAGACAAAGCTCCGGAGGGGGGGTCTGGGGTGGAGGTGCTGCCCCCGAGGGCCTGGGGGGACTCAGAGGGACCCAGGGGCCTTTGGGCAGAAGAGTAGCGTCATGGGCAGATAGCGCCCCGGCCCGAGCCTGACTGGGAGAGGTGCCCCTGTGGTTTGCCGAGTTGGGGTCTCCCAGTATCTTGCTAGCAGGAGCCCAGGCTTGCTCAGCACCTCTGCTGGGGCTCCCCCAGGTTCCCATCGCCACCAGGGCCCACCCAGGGCTGCGGGCAGAGATGTGGACAGCAGCAGGCGCTTCCAGGCGCATGGTGTGGGACCAGGCGGCCCAGAGAAGCAGCGCAAGTGTCCCGCCCTTCGTCGCATCCCAGGGACGGGGGCCAAGGGGACGCCGCTCACCCGCAGGTCTCGCCTGTCCCTTTCCCCGCGAGGCCACGGGCGGGGTCTCAGCAGCGTCCGGTCGGGGCCGAGCGCCGAGGAGGCACTGAATGAGTCTTTGCAGAGGGAGTCAGTGCGTCGTGTCCAGCTCGTCCTCCACGTTTTCCCGGGCAAGGAGAAGCTGCCGTGAGAGGGGCAAAGATGATTCCGACCCGAGCGCCCGGCTGGGTGGGGGTGTGAGGGCCATCCCACCCGGCTCCTTCTCTGTGTCCGCCCCAGCCCAGCCCAGGAGCGCACGCCCCTCCCTCCTCCTCCTGTGGGTGAGAATCCCCTCTGGGGGCCTGGCAGGGACGGGCTCTGCTGTCGGCCCCCAGGGAGGGGGATCGAGGGTCTGCCCTTGCATCGGCCACACCGGCCACACCGAGGTTCCTGGGCCTCCAGGGTGAGAGAGGGACCGAGCAGGATGGCCTCGGCGGGCGGCCCCCACAGCCCGGCGCCTCTGACGCGGTGGTCATCTGGTAGCTGCTGTAGGAATTCTGCAGGGCCCAGAACATTCCAGAGCTGGGACTATGCCAGTTTTTCCATTTGCATAGAAATGCCTGTATTTGAATACAAAGGCTTCTCGGGCTGGGGCTGTATAAATCTGGCCCCTGCACCCCAGGCCTTTTCCCATTATTTTCCTCTGTAAGATGCTGGGGAATACAATTTGCTAAATAAAAAAACATAAATATAAGAACAGCTTTGAAGGTCGATTTACATAAAATACAGCTTTCTTTGAGAGAGTGTCCCTGAGACAAAGTCCCTGTTTAAAATGCTTTATGGAGTTTGAAGTCCCAATTGTTCTTGATATTTATTAGTTTGGCAAACAAGTTACCGTGTCCGCGTCCCCACGGAAATAGAAAAATAAACCATCTCCGTGATCGCTTACCTCTCTAAACACCAGGAAAGCGGCGGACGGCGAGGCCGTCTCTGGGCCCGCCGGGTTACAAATGGCCGTGTCGCTGGCAGAAATGAAACCCGGGGCGGAAGGGAGGAGAGAGGCCCCGGCGCCGCAGACGCGGGAGGCTGCTCCGTCATCCAGCCTGGTGACATTCGAATCTCTCTATTCCACAGTGCCGAAGATTGTGATATTAGGTCCACCCGCGTCGGGAAAAACCACCATCGTGAGTATATCACGCTGCGGGCCGGAGCAGCGCCACGTCCCACTCCTCCCGCGGGCCCCTCACCGAATCCTCAGCGCCTCTGAGCTCTACTTCTCCCCCTTCTTCTCCTTCTCCTCTTACTTCCTTTTACAAAGGGCAGTGTGCGTTCCCCCTGGAAAACCTACAAGTACAAAAGCCACACACGTGACCCCCCAGCCACGCAGAGATCAGCACTGTTTGGCCGTCCGGGGCTGGGCCGCCTCGGGCGTTGGCGTGCCTGCCTGCACGCTGTCTCGGCACCCGGTTAGGATCAGGTTCTAGGCAGGGACAGTGCAGGGTCCAGCGGCGTAGCTGTGTCAGAGACTTTGGGCTCGGAACCTTAGGAGTCATCCTGAGAATTTTCGTTATGGTCTCTCTCGAACCGAGAGGCGCAGACACCGTCCCGGGGACATTCGTGTGCGCCGCTCCTGGGACTGACACGCAGTCGGGTCTCTCTCCACGCTGAAGAATCGCGGCGGTACAGACGCGGCCAATGGCCCACCCCGCCCTCCTGGCCGCCTCGGGACGCCGGCGTGCTCCGACAGCCACGGCTTCCGTCTCGGCCCGCGAGTCAAGTGTCAACATCACGTTTCACGCGTTCGGTGCCCGAGATGGGATCTTCTGCCTCTGGAGGGCCCCTCCCTGACGACGGAATCATCGTCACCCCTCTATCGCAAACAGGAAGCAAGGTGACTGACGGGGGCACAGGGTCACCTGCGCGCTCAGCTCACCTGCCGTCTCTCCGCCCGTCCATCCTGTCTGCCCGCCTCTCTGTCGTTCTATCTCATCTGCCGGCGCCGGGTGGTGGCTTCCACACTCCTCAGGCAGCCCACCAGCATCCAACCACATCTCACTGGCACCCATCGTTCCAAGTTCTCTGGTGGCTGGGAGGGGTGTGCGGGTGATGGGCGTCCAGAGAGCGGAGACCCTCGTTTTGTGAAGACCCAGAGCGGCACAGCAGGGGACTTGCCCTCTTGCGGAGGTCAGGTCCTGGCAGCCTTAGGTGGGTCACCGTCTTCACCCCGAGCCCCTGCGGGGACACCCGGCCTCCGCTGTTACAGCTGGACGGTGGTGCGTGCTGCGTTGTCTCTGGCGCTGCCCAGCAGGGGGACAGAGAGAGCTGCGGTGCCCCCCGGCGTGCCCGTGCTGGAGTGGTCCTGCCGCAGCTGTGTTGCCAGAATACGTCCGCGTTATCCGTGAAAGTCGCCCCTCCCTCGCGGGTGAGGGAGCCTTCGCCAGTTAACTGAGCGTTCAGCGAAAGGGTGTGTCAGCTCCCAACCTTGAAGAAAGTGAACGCCGAGTGCGGGTCCTGAGCCACGTTTCCTGCCCCCAGACGCCCTGCTGTAGACCAGCCCGGGGTGTAAAAGCCCGTGGCGGCGGCACGCGTGTGGTCTGGCGGTTAGGTGCCGTTTGGGACTCCTCCATCCCGCTGTGGAGTCCGGGTTCAAGTCCTGCTCCTGTTCCCACCTCCAGGTCCTTGCCGGCGTCCCCTGTAGAAGCAGCAGGAGTGGGAGCCGGGTTCTGCCCCCTGGTGGAGCGCCTGTCCCTAGGCCTGGCTGTCGTGGGCCTTTGGAGGGGAACCAGCAGACTGCAGCTCTCTGTCCCTGTCTCTCTCCGTCTTGCTGTCTCCCAGTTACATAAATAAGTGTTCAGAAAACCCACAGACAAGCCCCTCACGCCCCACAGAGCTTGCACGGCACACCCCAGGCGGCCATGGGCTTTCTGGCTCCGTGGGGGCAGACGTGGTGGACACGCAGGATCCCTGGGCGGGGGCCGCCTCCTGGGTCTGTCCTCCCTGCAGCCAGAAACCCCACGCGATGCCCCACCAACGTCATCTCGCAAGTGTGGAAGGACCTGGCTTCCTCTCAGGGAGCCCCCCCGCAGGGAGCCCCCCACCCCCTCTCAGGGAGCCCCCCACCCCCTCTCAGGGAGCTCCCCCTGCCCCTCCTCCCCTGCCCCCTCTCAGGGAGCCCCCCACCCCCTCTCAGGGAGCCCCTCACCCCCTCTCAGGGAGCCCCCCCTCAGGGAGCCCCCACCCCCTCTCAGGGAGCCCCCCCTCAGGGAGCCCCCCACCCCCTCTCAGGGAGCCCCCCCCTCAGGGAGCCCCCCACCCCCTCTCGGGAGCCCCCCACCCCCCCTCGGGAGCCCCCCGCCCCCTCTCAGGTAGCCCCCGCCCCCTCTCAGGGAGCCCCCCGCCCCCTCTCAGGGAGCCCCCCACCCCCTCTCAGGGAGCCCCCCACCCCCCCTCGGGAGCCCCCCGCCCCCTCTCAGGGAGCCCCCCGCCCCCTCTCAGGGAGCCTCCCCCCCCCCCCCCCCGCAGGCGATGTGGCTTTGCAAACACCTGAACTGCAACCTGCTCAACACGGAGAACCTGATGGGGAGAGAACTTTCCCTTCTGGCTGCTGAGGCCCGGAAATATTACCGGAGATTCCGGGTAAGACTGGCCCCGGGGGCAGGGCTGGGGACACAGGGACAGGGCTTCCTGGGCGCGAGGTCCACCCCCAGCCCGTCTCCTCCCGCCCTGCCCGTCACTCGCCTACTCTCCCTTTCCTTTTGGACGAAATCGAAATGGAGGCTGGGTAGCACGAGGTGCACACAGGCCGAGCTGGAAGGATGGGACGTGGCCCTGATGGGCACCGGGGTGGGCTTTCCTTCCACAGTGGGGCGGGCTGTCCTGTCCAGGCTCTTCTTCTTAGGGTCAGCACGTGATGGGGGCGGAGGCAGGGCAGTGGCACCATCCCGCAGAGGGTGGACCTGCGGCCTGGGAGGTCCCAGCTGTCCTCAGAGCGGAGGCCCCGTCACGTCCGGGCGTGCCGTGCCTCAGACCCCGCCAGCTCATTTGAAAAATCCTCCTTCAAAGAGGAGTGCTGGGCTGGGCCGTCCGTCTGCCTCTCAGAGGCTCGGAACTTTCCCCAGAACTCCCGTGGGGGCGTCAGCAGGGCCGTGCTGCCGCGGGGCAGCGTGTGTGGGCACTCAGGGTCTGCTTCCCCGCCTCGTGGGCTGCACGGCTGAGCGCGCCCGCCGCTGGGTGCCGCGGCCCCTTCCTCACCAGCAACCCTGAGAGGGCCACCGCGACTCCCAGGAACTGGGCAGCTGCGCGGGGGCCTGCTCTCTGACCCCTCTCTGAGTCCCTCTGCTGTTTCCCCTCCCCCTCCTCTCGTCATCTTCCTCGGCCGTGTGCCGCCTCCACCCGTGCCGGGCTCCCTGTGTGCTCTGTCCAGACCAGCCGCAGGCCAGCTTCGTGGGTGTGGCCTGGACACGGAGCAGGGGCGTGGCCGGGAGGGAGGGCCGTTCTCAGAGGTGGAGGGGTGTGGCTTGGGCGCATCCCAGTGCCAGTTTCCCATAGCGCGGTGAGTCACTGTCCCCCAAAACGTCCCCACAGGGGTCGGGGTGTGCGGTGACTGCTTCGGGGGGCATCAGCTTTGGGGTGGGAATACGGCTTGAGGACGGTGGCTCACTCGTGTCCTGCTCTTCAGGGTAGGGGGGGAAGGCTCATTTCTAGGTTAACAAATGCTTTTATTCAGTTCATAAAACTCAACAGAGAGGGGGGAGCTTAAGGCAATGCCTCCTGGGATTCATTACGCTAAGTATCAGTGTTTCAGACCCCGTGGAAGCGCGCTCGGGCTGTCTCGTCGGGGTTCCGAAACACGGGGAGGGGGAAGATGAAAGGCAAGGTCGCCGGCCTAGGCGGGGAGTGCCGTGCTCTGAGGGGCTGCAGCGGGGTGTCCTGGGCTCTGCTGGCCGCCGCCTTGCCCACGACAGGCAGCCCTCGCGCTAAATGTGGTCCTGAAATTGTCTGCTGATCTGCAGTCATCACAGCTCTTTGTGCAAGCAGTGAGAATTCCTTCGCGCGCACCCGGTTTTCTCCCGCTAATCTTGGCTCTGCCCCGCTGTGGGCAGTTCTCTTGTAACCGAGACGGCTCCCTCGTAGGCCTTTCCGAATGGTTTCCAAAAGCCATCTGCTCTATGAGTCCTCGTTCTCGTTGCTAGAACGAAATATCTGAAGCTGGGCAAAATACAAGGAGAGGAGGCTTGCTTGGCTCGTGGTCCGGGGCCGAGGGCCCGTGTCTGCCAACGTGTGCAGGACCCGGTGGCGGCAGGGCACCACGTGGAGAGAGATGGGGTGTGTGTGCATGTGCCTGCTTGCTTGCTTGCTTTGTCTCTCTCTTTCTTTCTCTCTTTCTCTCTCTCTTTCTCTCTTTCTTTCTCTCTTTCTCTCTTTCTTTCTTTCTTTAGGCAGAGTGGACAGTGTGAGAGAGAGACAGAGAGAAAGGTCTTCCTTTGCCGTTGGTTCACCCTCCAATGGCCGACGTGGCTGGTGCACCGCGCTGATCCGAAGGCAGGAGCCAGGTGCTTCTCCTGGTCTCCCATGGGGTGCAGGGCCCAAGCACCTGGGCCATCCTCCACTGCACTCCCTGGCCACAGCAGAGAGCTGGCCTGGAAGAGGGGCAACCGGGACAGAATCCGGCCCCGACTGGGACTAGAATCCGGTGTGCTGGTGCCGCAAGGCGGAGGATTAGCCTAGTGAGCCGCGGCGCCGGCCTCTATTTATTTATTTATTTATTTATTTTAAAGAAAGGCTGGGTTATGATATTGATCTTTATTTTTTTTTTAAGATTTAGTTTATTTGAAAGGCAGAGTTACAGAGAAAGAGGGAGAGAGAGGGAGGGGGAGGAGGAGAGGGAGAGAGAGAGGTCTTCCATCCGCTGGTTCACTCCCCAGATGGCCACTACGGCCAGGGTTGGGCCAAGTCGAAGGCAGAAGGCTGGAGCTCTACCTGGAGTCAGGGTCCCATGGGTGCAGGGCCCCAAGCACTTGGGCCATCTTCCGCCGCCTTCCCAGGTGCATTAGCAGGGAGCCTGCTGGGCTTTCACGGCGGCCAGGGGTCACACACGGCATTCTGCTGGCTTTGTGACTGTTGACTGTGAGATACAAAGATGTCCAGCAGCAGTGAGGGTGACCGGAGGAGCCGCGTGGACCCCCTCCCCGACTTGCCCTGCCCCTGGGTCATTTCAGAGCGAACACAGACAGCATTTCAGTTCATCGTTTCACTCTCTGTCTGCTGGGAGATGAAGGTGCAGACAGGCGATGGTCAGACCATGGGGAAAGGCGGAACTCTGGACCACAGCCTGCAGCACTCAACCTGTTACCTGCGATGACCAGCTCAGGAAGCGGCCTTCGAGGAAGGCAGATGCCTGTCTCTTCCAACAGCCCGGGGAGCCAAACGTCATCCTGCCCAAGAGGGCCAGGACTCGATTAGCTGCAGCTTCCTTAGTTTTTTCCCCCCTTCCCAGCTTCTGAGTGGCCAGAGAAAGCCAAAGACACTGCCCCAGCGAATCACATAGGCTGTCCCAGTGTGGTGACCTCCCCGGCTTCCCTGTGCCCACAGCCATCAATCAGCACACCCAGAGCGCTCTGGGTTTCCCATCCTGAAGCTTTCCCAGCCTTGAGCCTGCCTCTGAGTCTCTGCACGCAGTGAGGTGGCCAACTCCCTCGCCTTGGCCTTGTCTCTGTGGGTGGTCTTCATTTGTCCCTGTATTCCAAAACAGAACACACACACACACACACACACACACGTTACCACACCTGCAGGACCCGGTGCCTGGTCAAGGGTTAAAAGTCTCCTTAGCGACAGCTCTCCTGTGCGCCCTGGTGGCCTCTCCTGCCTGGGTCCCAGGCCCTCCCTCAGCTGACCTTTGCATCCGTCCAGTTCTTCCGGGTCAGGTGGCCGACGCCCTTGTCACTGGCTGCGCAATTTTGCTTAGATGCTGACCTCACTGCTCCTCCTGGAAGGGTCAGGGACCAAGGACATGGGGAAAGCCAGCAAAATGAATGTCAAAGGACCCTGTGGGAGGACAGGGCTTCCCACAGCACTGCAGGAACCCCCCCCTCTCCAACACCCCCTCCACAGACCCCCTCCCCACCCAGGACACCGCTGCTTCTGTTCCTCTTTCTTGAGTCAATGGAATTCTTGGCGTTTGGCTTTCTCTGGGCTTCTCTAAGCCCACCGGCTGATTCACCATCACAGATGCCACAAAAGGGCTCGGGTGTGGTTGGTCCTGGGAGTGGGGGTGGGGAACTAGACTGGGATGGGGAGGCCCCCAGTGTCAGGAGGTCCCAGGCTCAGGTGCTGCAATGAGACTGAGATTTCAACTGCAAGAGTCAAACTAAACCAACGCCGACTTTCCAGCTGAGACCCCTGTGTGTTTGCAGGTTTGGGGCTGCCTGGCCCTGGGGTTTTCAGAGTTGCCGGCCCGTTAGGATCTCTGGGGGCACACACTGCTGGCCTCTTTTAGTCTGCATTTATTTATTGTGTAGTGCTGTTTTTTAAGTCTCTATTTTTTGAAAGGCAGAGCGACAGAGAGAACCAAAACCAGAGATCTTCATCTGCTGGTTCACTCCCCAGATACCCGCAACAGCCAGGACTGGGCCAGGCTGACGTCAGGAGCCAGGAGCCCCAACCAGGTGTCCCATGTGGATGGCAGGGACCCAAGAACTTGAGCCACAACCCACCGCTTCTCCGTATGCGCATTAGCAGGAAGCTGAGGTTAGAATCAGGGCTGGGCTTGAGCCCAGGCACTCTGGTGTGGTAGGCAGGCTTCCCGAGCAGCACGTATCCCCTGCTCCGAGGCCCTGCTCCCCGGCACCCACGTTAGGGAGCTCTAACCAGGGCGGGCTGAGAGCACACCCCAGCACCACCCCTCGGTGCAGGGTTGTTCCACAGCACGATTCCTGCTAGTCAGGCTGTCTGTAGAAGTCCGTGCTTGTTGAGTGAATAAATGACCCGGGCTTTGAAGGCTGGTGCCAAGGACAGAGCAGGGCTTGTCCTGACTCCACTGTGGCCCGATGTCCCCAGGTACTGCAGCTGCCCAGAGTCACTGTTTTTTTTTTTTTTTTTTTACATATCCAAATAAAAGAACTGGAGCCTTCATCCAACTTCTGTCTACACACAAGAAACATGGTCCCCTGCAATCCGTCCCGAGTGTTTCTGGAGTCTCCCTTTGCTCCGGCCCTCCTGCCTCCCACCAGCCTCGAACTGAGACCTGTGGGAGCGCCCTCGGGTCCGTCCTTCCCCCTCCCGCTCCCCCTTCCACTGCAGGTGCAGGTGTGGGACAGGGCTTTGCTGGAGGCTGGGGTCCAGCGCAGGTGCACCTGAGAGCCGGCCTCCGTGGCTCAGCTAAGCTCATTGGCCTCTCCAGGCCATTCCAGGGTCTCCTGCTACCACCTCCCGCCGCGGGCCTGGTCGGCTGCCACACTGGGGGTCTACTCTCTTCCTTCAAAACCTCTTTTCCTAGCCCCCCTTGTCCTCTGTCCCCAGGATTGCCCGTCTCCCCCTGCCTCTCCTAACTGCTCTGCCAACTCCAAGCAGCAGCAGAACTTGGAGATGAGACTTGTCTATAAAGGCTTTTCCCATCAGTTCTCGGGGAGCTCAAATCCTGGGCTCCCCTCACCCAGCCGGAGCCCCTTCACGGAGGAGGCGGGGAAGGTGGGACAGACCCCCACGCTGCTCCTGCGGATCAAAGTGCTCACAACTTCCGGACATCACCTATCGAGGTGACCCAGGGACTCTGGGGTTCCTGAGAGTGGGCCCAGTGACAGGCAGCAGGGCTCACGTCAGCCCTGTATGAGGAAGTCCAGGCGTGGGGGAGTTAAGGGACGCCCCAGGGGGCCTCTGCAAGCTGACCAGTGCGTCCCTTGATGGAGGGCGGTGCCCTGAGGGCGGCTCTGCCGTGCTGCCCTGGGGACCCAGGAAGGCACCAAAGCCCGCCCTGGGCGCTGGAGAGGGAAGAGAGGTTGGTTCACATCAGAGCCACCGCAGCAGTGCCGCCCGCCGGGAAAGAAGCAGGCTGGATGCCGCAGTGCCAGGGGTCCGTACCCAGGCGGGGCCCTCCCTCTGCGCGTTGGCCCCGAGCCTGCCCGAGAGCCGGGCTGGGCTGGGCCGGGCTGGGCTGGGCTGGGCTGTGTCAGGAGCTCCAGAACTCGCTCCCTGCAGAGACGGTTTGGCAGGACTGGCTGCTGACTTGACACTTCAAAGACGGCACTGAGACAGCACGGTGGAGGGGGTGTGGTGGCGGGCACGGCAGGGGACGCCCGGGAGGGGCAGCGCTCAAAGCCGAGGGCCTGGCCCCTGCTGTGCGGGCTGCGGGGGGCACCTTGTCCCACCAGCCCGTGCCTTTCAACCCGCCTCCCTGGACTGGCTTGCACCCCGTGCCCCAGGCCGGCACCTCTGCCTCCAGAACGGGTGGGAGGGAGATCACCTGGGCCTCAGGATGGGCAGGGACCCTGCCTGGGGCCCGGAACCGATGCAGGGGGCAGGAGGGAGAGAAAGGGCTGGGAGGACCAGGGCTGCTTCCTGGGGATTCTTTCCCCTCTCCAGCCGTGTCCCCACAAGGGCCGGGCTCCTTGGTACGGAGTTGGCTGAGAGTGGCCCTGGGGTGGCCCTGGCCCAGCAACATCCGCATCACTCGCCTGGTAGAAACGCGGGTTCTCAGCCCCAGCCCAGACCTCCTGAATCGGAGCTGGGTGGGGCCCGCCCACCGGCATCGGAGCAGTGTTCAGGTTGAGAGCCACTGGGGTGTGGGGAGACGGCGGGAGCAGGGGCTGGGGGCCGGCCAGTCTCCTCCCTGCCCCTTGGGGAGACGGCAGGAGCAGGGGCTGGGGGCCGGCCAGTCTCCTCCCTGCCCCTTGGGGAGACAGCGGGAGCAGGGGCTGGGGGCCGGCCAGTCTCCTCCCTGCCCCTTGGGGAGACGGCAGGAGCAGGGGCTGGGGGCCGGCCAGTCTCCTCCCTGCCCCTTGGGGAGACGGCAGGAGCAGGGGCTGGGGGCCGGCCAGTCTCCTCCCTGCCCCTTGGGGAGATGGCGGGAGCAGGGGCTGGGGGCCGGCCAGTCTCCTCCCTGCCCCTTGGGGAGATGGCGGGAGCAGGGGCTGGGGGCCGGCCAGTCTCCTCCCTGCCCCTTGGAGAGATGGCGGGAGCAGGGGCTGGGGGCCGGCCAGTCTCCACCCTGCCCCTTGGAGAGACGGCGGGAGCAGGGGCTGGGGGCCGGCCAGTCTCCTCCCTGCCCCTCCGGGCTCCTTTTCCTCTCACCATTCATTTGTTCTCTCTCTCCATCTTGCTTTCCCTCTTGACTTCTGGTGGCCTCTTCACAGAGACCTCCAAGCAAACACCTTACAAATCTGGCTCCCAGCCCCACCCCGTTCTCTCACTGTCCTTTTCTTCCAGTTCTGCAGCCCTGGAAGAGCCATTCTGGGTTCTTACTTTCCCTTTGTGCCACCTTCATTCCCTTACACATCCCTCATGCCTGCAAAGCGGCTGTTGCTGCTCCAGCGCTTGCATTCTTTCAGCTTCTGATCTGGTGGAGGAAAGCGGGGGTTCCCACCCCCTGGCGGTTCCACTGATGCCCCGAGCCTCATGTACATTGGTTGGGATTGGGTCACAGGCAGCTTCTAACGCAATCGCAGTGGCCGGGGGTGGGACATGCTGATGAGCTGGGACCAATCAGGACCTTCCTCTGGATCTGACCTGGGTTGACCCCACCCAGACCATCCAAGCTGATGGGCCAGAGGGTGACTCCCCAAAGGGAGTTTGGGGGAGTACGTTACTAGCAGTGGGGTCTATGGGAAGCAGAAGTAATAGTGACTCAGTCAGGTACCACTTGGAAGTTGGCAGCCCGGGGCCCACCTGCTAGAACCCGTTAGGCCGCTGGGCCTGAACCGCGGGCCGGAGAAAGCTGCGCCCAGACAGACAGTCTGTGGGCTGCTGGAATGTTTATTGCTTGGGAAATGGCCGCACTGGAACATTCCAAGCTGCCGGGACCACACACGTGAACCAAGGGGCTTTCCGCACGTCCCCACCACCTTATCAGGGCCCCTGTGGCACCCTGCACCTCCCCCGACAGGCACAAGGGACTCTGCCCTCTGGCAGGCTGAACCCCCACTCTCTTTACCCCTCACTCTGTCCCCCCTTAAGAAGTCTTGTCTGTTTTACCCAGCTGCCTCCTCGCCGTCTCCAGACCCTAAAATCCCAAAACCTAGCACCACCCAGCTGCTGGAGACGCCGTGTGACGCACCAGCCCTCTGTCCCCGCACGTGCCCACGCCCAGACACACTGGAAGCAGACCCAGCCGTGCTGGGACGCAGGACCCGATCTGCCTGGAGCCTCCCACACACTGGCCCTCGGCGTAAAGACCAGGCCTGTCCCCCAGCTTGGAGGAGGCTCAGCAAGTCCCCCGTTCGTCACTGCCTCCGCTGGGCACACTGCGCGGCCCTGGCCTGGAGCGCCGTGGCCAGCACCTGGCGGAAGCCCCTCCCACCAGTTTGGCCTGAGCTGGCCGGCTTGAATGTGCTGTGGGGCTGGCCTGGGGGGTCTCTCTGGCAGAATGTTTGGGGGTCGTGGCGGGGAAGCACTGGCTTTGGAAATCTTGGGTCAAGGGGACTCTGGGGAGTGGGTGTTCCAGGCCCTGGCTCTGGGACTTCAAGCTTTGCGAGCCGGTTCAGCTCAGACTTGGCCGTGAGGATACTGGCAAGGAGCTGGTCAGAGAAAGCTGAGAAGCAAGAGAGCAGAGGGCGGTGGTGGTCAGCTTCCCGCCCGCACGTCCCCCAGCCCGCCCGGAGCAGCGGAGACGGGTGCTCAGGCCCTGGCTCTGCCCTCCCTTGCTGCGAACCCTGGGGAGGGGGCTCAGCTTCCAGGTCTATGAAAAACAAGCAGGGACAAAGGGGGCACAAATCACGGAGGTATCGTACAAGGCGAGAACCGCCACGCCTGGCCCGGCACACACGTGGACACGCTAGCGTCTTCATTACTGCGTTTGGATGACTTAGGGGACGCGATGTTTCACCAACTCATCCACCAGCAAGGCTTCCTATGGGCTCTGTCCTGGGGCTGGGGCTGGGGTCCACTGGTCAGCTCTGTTCTGGGGCTGGGGTCCACTGGTCAGCTCTGTTCTGGGGCTGGGGTCCACTGGTCGGCTCTGTTCTGGGGCTGGGGTCCACTGGTCAGTGTTAAGCCCCTGGCTCTCGGGAGGGGGGTGGGGAATCCCTGATTTGCCCGTTTCTGTGGTGTAAACGTTCACACTACCCACATGGTAGGGTGGCCTGGGACGGGAGGGACAAGCTTCCCCCCCCCCCCCCCCGGCACGGGCCACAAAGGCAGTCAGAGGCTGCTCCCTTTCCCTCAGGGACCTCGCGGCTCACTGGGCGCGTGTGCGTGCCGGCAGGTCCTTAGAGCGGGCTGGCGTGATAGAACTCACCACCGGGATCTCGGGGCCTGGGAAGCAGCCTCAGCCTGGCCTGGGAGGGCTTCCGGCAGGCGGCAGCGCCTGGGGCAGCTCTGGAGTTGCTCAGGTGGAGGCGGGCAGGGGCTCAGGACAGGGTGGGCGGTGCTGGGGTCAGCTGAGTGCCCTCCTGCGCTCCGGGCCCCTCATGCTGTGTGTGGTCTCTCCTTCAGAGCCTCCCCAGCCAGCTGGTTGTGAGGCTGGTTCAGGAACGCCTGGCGGAGGAGGACTGTGTCCGGCGGGTAAGAGAGGGGCTCTGTGGCCAGGAGGGGAGGGCGGGCGGGGGAGGGGGCATCCCAGCTCCCAGGGCAGGGGTGACCCGAGGCACAAGCATCCAAGCAGGAGCTTGTGGACGGTCAGTGTGGGGACGTGGCTGCAGCCTGTTGGAGGGTGACCGTGGAGCCGGCACAGCTGTCCATGCTCCTCCCGCAGAGCACCCGGGACAGAGCGCTGGGAGAGAGGCGCTGAGGGTGGTGAAGGTGCGGCTGAGGGTCCAGGGACGGGCAGTGGGGAGGCAGGAGTGCAAGTGAGGCAGATGGCGAGGGGCGCTGGGGGGCAGCCCCGCAGGGCAGAGGGGAGGGCGGCGGAGCCCTGCCAGGCCCGGGGAGCGCCTCACCTGCACGGGGGTCCTCTCCTCCTCTCAGGAGGGCAGCGGAGCCCTGCCGGGCCCGGGGAGCGCCTCACCCGCACGGGGGTCCTCTCCTCCTCTCGGGAGGGGCAGAGCCCTGCGGGGGCCCGGGGAGCCTCACCCGCACGGGGGTCCTCTCAGGAGGACAGCGAGCCCTGCCGGGCCCGGGGAGTGCCTCACCTGCACGGGGGTCCTCTCAGGAGGACAGCGGAGCCCTGCCGGCCCAGGGAGCGCCTCACCCGCACGGGGGTCCTCTCTCAGGAGGGCAGCGGAGCCCTGCCAGGCCTAGGGAGTGCCTCACCCGCACGGGGGTCCTCAGGGACCGTGGCTGGGCCCCTCTGCGGACAGGGAGCTGAGCCGGCCGCGGGACCTGTGGGTGTTTCCCCCGAGGCTGCAGCGTGGCTTCTGGCTCTACTGGGCTCTGCCGCGGAACGGAAGCTTGGTTTTGATGAAGGTTAGTCAGTGCCATCTTCCGTTTGTACTATTCTGTTTTGTTTTCTTTCGCCTTCTCTCTGTGGGTCTGTGTTTCCTCGTGCGTGCTCCCGTGATTACAGGGTACGCGCTGCCCCCCTGTCTGGTCAGCAGGGGCGCTGGACCCCTTCCTGAGTCTGTGCTGGAGTCGGCTCCCAGGCGACACCCGGACGTGCTGGAAGTCCCCAGGCCTGTCCCATCACCAAGCTCACTCGGAAGAATCCCAGGGGAGGGAAATGACCACATTCACCCAGAAAGTTGCCGTTTCTGTCGCTCCTCTGATTTTTTATTTATTTGAGAGGCAGAGTTACAGCAGAGAGAGGGAGAAACAGAGAGAGAGGTCTTCCATCTGCTGGTTCACTCCCCAGATGGCTACAATGGCCAGGGCTGAGCAGATCCGAAGCCAGGAGCCAGGAGCTTCTCCCGGGTCTCCCACGTGGGTGCAGGGGCCCAAGCACTTGGGCCGTCTTCTCCTGCTATCCCAGGCCATGGCAGAGAGCTGGATGGGAAAGAGGAGCAGCCGGGACGTGAACCAGCGCCCCTGTGGGATGCCAGCGACACGTGGTAGGGGCTTGCACTATCAAGAAGCTGGATGGGAAGTAGAGTAGCCAGGACTTGAACTTGTTCCAGTATGGAATGCAGGCATCTTAAGTGATGATGTAACCTGCTTCGCCCCAACGCCAGACCCCATCAACCTCGTTAGCCCCTGAAAGCCTTGGTCTGTACAGCCTGTTTGCCTCGTGCGCTCGCAGCGTGTGCAAACGCTAAGCACCCCCTGTCCTTGCCAACAGCTACCGCCATCTCCGTGATGACGTGTGGCTAGTATTATTCAATACCAACAGTTATGATGGTGGTGGTGTTGGCTGTGTTACTGTTTATAGTATTTATGAACGTGTTCTGATGACGTGGTGGTTGTTGTCGGACACCTGGTCTAGCGCTTGGTCCACCACGCGCCATTGCTGGCGCACCACGCTCTGTGCAGAGAGGCTTCGTCATTCTGCTGTTGATGGCGCGTTGACTGGGGGTGTAGTGGGTGCCAGGGCCGAGGGCTGTGCCCAGCTCCTCTTTGGATCTTACAGCCGCCGTGTGGAGGCCAAATCTGGGACGTGCCCAGGACTTACTTATCACATAGGTTCCAGAATGTTCCCTGGCGCAAACATGGCCTCGTGCTCTTGGGCCCTGTTCTTGTTTCAGAGGCCACGCCCCGTGAAGGAGGGTGGTGTTGCCCTGAGCGCTGTCCCTGCCCTGGTCCTCGGTTTCCGGTCTGGAAGGTGGGGGCTGGGCTTGCGTGCCGAGGTCCCTTCCAGCCTTACCCGTTCAGTGACTCGGGTCGTGTCTGAGCGTTGTTGCCTGCAGAGTGAAGAGATACCTCCTCCACTTCCTCTAAGCTTTGTGCCTTTCCGTCTCTTCCCGGTGGAGACAGGCTCTCAAGAGTGAGAGGTTAGGCTGCTAATTACGGGCTCTGGTTGTTCAGAGACAAAACAAACCCTCGTCCAAAGTAAACAGGCTCCCTTGCTTTTAGGGAGAGAAATGACACATATGCATATTCATTTATATGGTAATTATTATTTTTTAGCTACGCAGGGACTAGAATTGATAATGTAGAGCTCAAAAAGAAAGCAGGGAGCAATGTTTTGGGGGAAATAAAGCAGTCGTAGCCCATCAGGATTCTGTGGTTAGTGTGGGTTTTTTTTTTTTCTTTCTTGTTTTTCGGTCTAATGCAATCTGTTTGAAGAATGTTTTGAAGTGACCATCAAATGCATCAGAGGAAGAGAAATTAGCAGTTTGTATTATTGGAGCCATGCAAGGGAGGTGGCTCTAGCTGCGGGGGACCCGCGAGCCACTGCTCAGGGGTGGTCAGCTTCCTGAAGTCAGAATGGGCCTGGCTGCCATCCTCAGGGCACCAGAGAGCTGAAAAACGGGCAGTGGGCTCTGGAGACTTGGGCAGGGCCCAGTGCCCAGGAGGCCGGAGAGTCGGGCCTGAGAAGCCCCTCCTCTGCTCGGCACCAGCCCGGGGCCCGGCAGCCGCCCTGGTCTTTCGCCTATCCCTTCACACTGCTGCCGGAGGCACACTTGGTTGGCTTGTGTTATTGAATTTTTATTGCTATAAGGAGAACATATTTTAGGTAGTTGGTTGGCTGGTTTTTAACGAGTGAACTTCTTTGCTGACCACACTACATCCCTTCGTGAGGTTCAGAATGGAAAAGGCAGCCGAGCCGGCCACTGCCTGGCGCCCCCTCCTCTGCGGGAGCTCCTCCCTTGGAAGCACAGGGGCCATTGGTCATCTTTTTTTTAAGATTTATTTATTTACTTTGAAAGAGTTACAAGGAGAGAGGAAGAAACAGAGCGAGCTCTCCCCTCTGCCAGGGCAGCCGGGACTGAACCCCTGAACCCCACATCCACATGAGATGCCGGCGTTGCAGGCGGGCAGTGGCTTTCCCATCTGCGCCACAACTCTCCCCAGCACTCCCCAGCAAATCTTTTTTTTTTTTTTAAAGATTTTATTTATTTGAGAGACAGAGTTACAGACAGAGTAGAGTGAGGGGGAGACAGAGAGAAAGACCTTCCATCCACTGGTTCACTCCCCAAATGGCTGCAATGGTTGGAGCTGCTCTGATCTGAAGCCAGGAGCCAGGAGCTTCCTCCAGGTCTCCCACGTGGGTGCAGGGGCCCAAGCACTTGGGGCATCTTCCACTGCTTCTCCAGGCCACAGCAGGGAGCTGGATTGGAAATGGAGCAGCTGGGACTTGAACCGGCGCCCATAAGGGATGCTGGTGCCACAGGTGGAGGCTTAGCCCACTGTGCTACAGTGCTGGCCCCAGCTTGGTAGTCTTTTAAGTGTAGTGCTTGAGGGGGAAAAGCAGTGAAGTTTCAGAGCCCCTTGCAGCCCGTCTCCTGCCCCAACCCCGCCTCCCGTCCGTTTGGGACAGAGCTCGTGTGGAGTTCCCTTCATTCCTGTGAGTTCCCGCTGTGGGCGAGTTCCTCTGCCCTGGGAGCCCGGGCTTTGTGAAGGGCTGAGGGGCATAATGCAGGAAGCCACGCGCACGGCGTACGTGGCTACCCCCATCCCTTCAAGAGTTACTTACTTACTTATTTATTTATTTATTTATTTATTTATTTTTTGACAGGCAGAGTGGACAGTGAGAGAGAGAGACAGAGAGAAAGGTCTTCCTTTGCCGTTGGTTCACCCTCCAATGGCCGCCGCGGCCAGCACGCTGCTGCCGGCGCACCGCGCTGATCCAATGGCAGGAGCCAGGAGCCAGGTGCTTTTCCTGGTCTCCCATGGGGTGCAGGGCCCAAGCACCTGGGCCATCCTCCACTGCCCTCCCGGGCCACAGCAGAGAGCTGGCCTGGAAGAGGGGCAACCGGGACAGAATCCGGCGCCCCGACCGGGACTAGAACCCGGTGTGCCGGCGCCGCTAGGCGGAGGATTAGCCTAGTGAGCCGCGGCGCCGGCCTACTTACTTATTTATTTAAAGTCAGAGTTACACCGAGAGAGGAGAGGCAGAGAGAGAGACAGACAGACAGAGAGACAGAGAGAGGTCTTCCCATCTGCTGCAACAGCTGGAGCTGAGCCGATCCGAAGCCAGGAGCCAGGAGCTTCCTCCAGGTCTCCCACGTGGGTGCAGGGCCCAAGCACTTGGTTCATCCTCCGCTGCTTTCCCAGGCCACAGCAAAGAGCTGGATTAGAAGTGGAGCGGCCGGGACACGAACCGGTACCCACATGGGATGCCAGCACTGGAGGCGGCGGCTTTACCCGCTGCACCGTAGAGCCGGCCCCAGATTTCAAGTTTTTTGCACCAGAATGAACTCATGTTCTAATTCCATGTTCAGTGAACATTTTGCAGTCCCTGCCAGTGTGCCAAACAGCAGGCCCAGCTCAGAGGCAGCTCCCGTCACATTCGAACCGCTGTCCCACGAGAGTGCCGTCAGCCAGGACTTCCGGGGCACCTGCTGGGTTGGTGTCATGCTGGGGACAAAGCAGAAGAGGCGGCTGGGAGGGCCGGCAGGTGGCGAGTGTGCAGGCACCGCCGATGTCCCGACGTGGGCTGTTGCGTAGGAGCACCAACCACAGAACCAAAGGAGGGGCGGATACGTAAGCCCGAAGAACAGACCTTCTAGAATTGCGTCAGGTTCAGAACG